CCCCAAAACCCCAAAACCCCAAAACCCCAAAACCCCAAAACCCCTTTCAGGTAAAAGATGATTGGAACCATCTGGGTTTTTATAATTACTCAATAATCTAGCCAAAATAACATGAAAAACTTGGTTATAGTATAACTTCCTTTACCGTACTTTCTTTTTGTCTATCTAAGACGGCACTTAGGACCTTCTAGTAGAATTAGGATTTTATATCACAGTAGGAACATGTACTTAACATTTGGCGTAATAATCCAAGTTATCACTATAAATAATACTTCACTTCTTCAAGAGGGTAGTCTGAAAGCTAAGTAAATCATGAAATATTGCATGAAACAATAGATCTCCATAGAAATCATTACTCTTTAACCTCTAGTGGGGTTTCTTAAAGCGAGAAATTGATCAAATATTTATCAAATTTTCTTACTGTGGAGCAGTTAATTTGGCTATAGCCTTACTATTTCGGACTAATGCAGAAATTGCTCGATTGAAATCTTTACTAATTTCTTGTAAGAAGAAGTGGGCGAGTGAAATAAGAACTTTATTAATTAAGCCAGTATTTGTATCGATGAATTTTATGGAGATCTAGTCAATTTTATAATCAGATAATAGACTATTGTCAAATTCTTTGGTGAGTCCTGAGAAAGCTTCTACCCTTGCTCTAGATATTGCCTATGCAGCACTAGCTCCAAGAGCCATTTAACAATCTATTGAGAATTTCTTGCCAAGTGCGGCAGTAGCTTCATGAACCCAGAATTTTCAAACATAATTTTTTAAACCAGAAAATTCACAAACTTTTAAAAACAAGGTTTGGCAAACCTTGTTTTCGACTGTGAGCAGGCACTGAATGGCTTGATTACTTTTAAATTTTTCGTAATTACAAAGAGTAGAGGTTACTTAAATAATTCAGCATTTTAATCTGCCTACTCTCGTGAGCAATAAATAGAGATAGCTATGCAAGAGCGAATTATTGCTGAAGATTCTCACCAAATTTAGAACTGATCTTGGATGCCACAAAAGGAGTTAGCATAGTAAATAAAACCCTATTTGTACCTCTCCGGTTCCCTTCCAGCAGGAGGGTAGTGGAGTATTTCCAGTATTGGAAATTCTTCTGGAAGATAATTAAGTAAACTGGTTTAGTGCTATTCCCAGTTATTTAAGTCTTACCGCAAACTTATTAAAGACAATTAGAGACGACTAAAGTCATTTTGAGAAAGATCCGGTCCCTTAAAATCCTGCTGAATAGAGAAAAAGCGAGAATATATATGTAAAATTATTTTAGATAACATATTAGGTTAAACTTAGCTAATTAGATACATGTAAACTTGGAATTTAACCAAGATTTACAAGTATAGCTGCCAAGAGTAGTACTAAGGAGGTCTCTCTTAGTTAAATTGAGAGTTATAAACACAGTACCTCGGCTTAGAGATATATACTAAACCAGGTCTAGCTTGTTCTGGAAGTGATGGAGCTGAACATCTTGGAATGAAAAACCTTCTGTCTTGCACAATAGGGTTATGAGGTCTATCAAAGATAGGTCTATTTAACACCAAAGGCTCAGAAGCAGTAGAGTTTTCTGACTCAAAGAGGCTTGCAATCTCATCATCTGCTTCATTTCTAGACTTGATTTCATTCACTAGTTCATCTTCATCAGCTTCTGCTGAACAAAAGTCAGAATCCGTATCTTCGCCATAAGACTGAGAAGATAGGGAATTAAGGGAGGAGTCTTCTTCAAAGCTATCTTCCTGGTGAGAAAGCTCAGATAAGAACTCACGAGACATTGAGGATGGCTTGCTAAAACTACCAACTCTATGATTCTGAGAAGGCATTAAGGAACTTTGACCAGACATAGTTCTGCTCAAGGTTCCATTAGAAACTGGAATTGGTCTTAGGAAATTGTTGTTTCATCCTCTGTTGCTATTTACATCACACCTGATCATTGGCTCGACTTCACTTCTTGAATCGAGGGTACTGACAGTAAAAGTTTGGGAGATCATCTTTTAAAAATATATATTAATATGGAACAATAATATCAATAAATATGCGATGAAATGGGGTTTTGGGGTTTTGGGGTTTTGGGGTTTTGGGGTTTTGGGG